AGCATGTCAAAAGATCCCATACCATAGCAACGCAGTGAACTTCATAGCGTTTGTACCAAAAAATGGGAAGCAATTTGACAAGTAATTTCTCAGCAATAGATGAGCCAAATTTCTTTAAAAAAATTGCTTGAGGCTCTTTAGGCTATCTTCTGCTAGTGATATGAATATGTAAGAGATTGGTCTCATATTACGTATGTATTTTTTTTGTTGAGATGCTTAACAACTTAGTAGAATTAGACGGCAGAGATCATTTCTACACATTTTAAAACAATTTTTGGGTATATTGGATGAAAATTGTTCAAATAAGAGCAATTTAGTGAAAAGAATTTTGGTCTCATCGCAGAGCTCTGGTATGGGAATTTTTGACATGCTATTTTGAATTTCTTAGTACTCAAAGAATATTAAAAATACTTTATTTATATTTTTACAGCTTGCTAATGATACTCTGGGGCTACTTTGTAATTTTCAGTGAATTTGGTTCATCAGTTATCGAGAAAATACTTGTCAAATTCTTATTGGAACACCTGATATATTGGGAACAAATGTTTCTTTATTTTGAAGAATTGTCTCATTTCACAAGGTACAAGGGATAGTTATTGTACAAATAGTGACTGCCATTGAGGGAAATAGTGCAAAATATTTTCCTCAAGCGAATATCCTGTCCACTGACATGTTCCCGAGGCTGCAGGCCGAGGGAACAAGTCAGTGGACAGGATATTCCCGAGAGGAAAATTTTTACACTATTTCCCAAAAATGTGGCAGTCACTATTTGTTTTATTATATACCTGATAAGTACTCTGTAAACAAAAACAAAATGAGAAGTCTTCATTTCAATATCAAATGTTCACAGGTTCTTATTGGCATTTAAAGGCATTTTACCTTTCAACTCCTATAATCTCAGATTTGGGGGAAGATAATAAACAATTATTGACCTCTCCAGAGGTTTACTGTCAAAATTATATCCCGAGACTGTAAACCGAGACCGTAGGTCGAGGTTTACAGTCGAGGGATATAATTTTGACAGTAAACCGAATGGAGAGGTCTATAATTGTTTTGTTAGTCCGAAGAATATCTTAGATTTTTCTGACCCTTGAAGTTGACTTGAAGTTGGATCCAGACCCTCGAGACGTTCATGTTGTATTTCAGTATATCGGCAGTAAGTTCACTCAATGGAGTCAAATTACTCTCCTGGGCGAAGTCCACTAAAAGCTTAAGATTTTTCTTCGTATTTTGACTGTCTTTACTCTCTAAGAGACTAATAATATCCTCATCTTCAACATTTTTGAAACGGCTTGTGCTAGCGGCGGCCATTTTATCGTCTGATAATGACGTCATTTTAGTGGAATGCTGGGAATATTATTCACCGGCAATGCATTGCGCGGTGTACAGTTAAAATTATTCACCGCTCATTGACCAATCAAAATCGAGTATTTCAACTGAGGTACTAACAAAATGCACTATTGACTGGTCACATGACCTAACTGGTGATTAGTACAATTCATCTTCCCTGAAAGCAGGGATTTAGGACTTTCCAGGGAATTAGTTCATCTATTCCATGTCATGTGACCATGAATAAGCCAATGAGCATCTAGAATACATTTGAGGTATATAATAATGTAAACTACTGCATTTGTAAGCATTTGTTAGAAAGTTGTCATTACATTGCAAGTGGGAACCTTTTTATCGCACTTTGAAAATGTGCTATATTGCCGTCATCCTGTACTACTGATGGTTGGGTGCCACATAAATTAAATCTTGTCATCAAAATTCTAGGAAAACCACTGGCCAGTGTTAAACCTGAAATTTGTACAAATGCTGCAAGAGAAGAAGAGTTCCAAGATGTAATAAATTAAGGTTTTGGGCATGCTAGGTAGATTATTTGGTGGCCATTTTGAATTTTTCATAAATCTTGTCATTAAGATTCCAGGAGAACCACTAATCTATTAAACTTGAAATTTTTACAGATGCAAGAGCAGATTAGTTGAAACATCTGATTGGGTTTTGGGTATGATGACTTAATTACACAGTGGCTTTTTAATTCTTTGGTTGATCGACTATTTTGATTTTTTCATAAATCTTGGCATCAATATTCCAGAAAAACCGCTTGTCTGTTCAACTTGATATTTTCACAGATGCAAGAGCAGAATAGAGCCAAGATATGCTTAATACTTTGGGCATGCTGGGTAAATTCCTTGGCAGCTATTATGAATTTTTCCATAAATGTTGTCGTAATCAATATTCTATTCATCCATTCAACTTGTGTCTTATTCAACTTTGTAATTGTTTCTTTACAAGAAAACTATTTTTGTGTTTGCCACCAAGTGCTGGTGTTGCATATTGTTATATATACAGGGTGGGCCAAAAAAACCCACCCCCCTAACCAATATTCCTGATAAATATTTATTTTTTAACAATCACACCAACAATGATATATCATATTAAAGATAATTTAATTTGCAACAAAATGATATATAATAGCACCATTTTCAACAACCCAATATAGAAGTATGACCATTTATGTGACATGGGGGTCAAAAAACACCTTTTCAATTTTCGTCGATTTTGCAACAATTGCCTATTTCTACCAAATTTTAGTAAATTACAACATTGTCATGAGTCTTTCATAATTGGATATTATATATTGTTTTCATTCAATTTTTGAACCACACATGCTCAATATACATGTGTATGCTTATAAAACTAATTCATTTCTTCTTCAATCTGTCCAAAAATAGCTCAATAGACCCACCCCCCGGACCCATCCTCTGATTGGATTATTCGCTTAAGACGCGGAAGCCATTGGTTGATGGCATAATTGATGGATGTATGCAGAAGTACCATTTAACTGCTAGTTATTCTTTCTTTTAGTTCCTCTACATCCCTGATAGGCTTGGTATATTTAAATATCAACTGTTCTAGATGCTCCCAGGTATGGTAATCAACATTATTGGCAACTGGACTGCTAGTATGCCATTATTTTGGGCTAGAGATGGTGACATTTCCAATCTCCAAAAACTCCAGGGTAGCATTGGACCTGTGTGATGGAGCACTGTTCTTTCAGAAAATGAAATTTCTTTCACATGTTTTTTATATTCTCGAGGAGTCCTTTTTTACCACCTCACGTCATTAACATTCAAAGTATATTTTTGCTCCTGGTTCAAAAAACAGTGACTGTATGGTCTTTCCTTTTTGGGAAACACTGAGTGGACACCATCTACTTTTCAGAAAAATGTCATCTTGATTTGAGTAGCCTTTTATCGCAATGTCACTATTCTTGCTTACTGATATAGAGTATAGCCTTTTTATTACATGTATAGTACTTGGGGCATTTTGAACAGTTGGTCTATGGAGATCCCTAGCCCATCAGGGGTGTAGACATACTGAAAGAATGAATAATTAGGTGTTGGATGGTACTTCTGCAGAGGTCCATCAATTATACCAATGGCTTTCGCGTTTTAAGCGAGAAATCAAATCAGAAGTTGGGTCCAGGGTGAGTCTATTGAGCCATATTTGGACAGACTGAAGAAGAAATGAATTAGTTTTATAAGCATACACATGTATATTGAGCATGTAAGGTTCAAAAACTGAATGAAAACAATATATAATATCCAATTATGAAAGATTCATGACAATATTGTAATTTACTCAAATTTGTTAGAAATAGGCAATTGTTCGCAAAATCGACGAAAATTGAAAAGGTGTTTTTTGACCCCCATGTCACATAAATGGTCATACTTCTATATTGGGTTGTTGAAAATTGTTCTATTATATATCATTCTGTTGCAAATTAAATTATCTTTAAAATGATATATCATTGTTGGTGTGCATGTTAAAAATTGAATATTTATCAGAAATATTGGCTAGGGGGGTGGTTTTTTTTGGCCCACCCTGTATATTCCTTGTCATGCCTATTTTATAATAATACTCAAACTATATACTGTATTTGAGGAATACTAAAGATTTTTACAATAAAACATTCATTTTTTTCTATTTTGTGGTTACCATTTTTATAATTTGGTAGAATTTAAACAATTTTCCCCCATTTGAGACTAAAATAACTTCACCAATTTATAACATATCATAGATCTTTTGGGAGATATTATATTTATGATTTTGAAGAGTATATTGGGAAGTCAACTGTTGCTTTTAACCTAGCACTCCCAGTGGACCTGGTTCTCCCTAAAACAATAATTTTGGGCATTTGCTTCAGCATTTGAGTCAAAAAGATATTGTGCATCTTGTAGGATATTATATTTGGAATTGTAAAGTACTGACTTCCATTTAAGAGCACAAACTAGATTCCTCATTCAGTATTAACCTATTTCTCTGTATTGTGACATGAATTTCATACAATTGAATCTTATGCATACAGTAGTTGAACTGTTCAAATTTTCTGAAAACAGATCTGAACCAAAATGTTAGAGTCTTAGAATTACAATTTTTCTTTTCCCATTATTTCACAAGATGTAGACAGAATGTTCACAACCTTTTTGGCAAAAATCTGTGTCAGCATCAAATGTTTGAGTAAATCGAATCCATTGCAAACAAATAGTTAATAAGAGATCAAAATAATGGCCCACTTTTGTTAACGATATCGCAAATGCTTAGGTTTTCTTGAACATATGATGCTCACTCTTGTTTGTGCCAAAAAGGTCTTTAAGATATATCTGTCTACATCTCATGAAATCATTTACCAAAATGGATCTGTTTTCGTAAACATTTTGAAGAGTTCCACCACAGTGATGCAGAAGCATGCTTGACTCATCATACCATGATGTACAAAATTCTATAGCAGTAAATGTTAAGTTGTCTGATTTTTACTTCTTTCCAAGGCTGTTTATCTGTCCAATTGTATTCTGGCTTCATAAAACGGACAGCCCCTTATATTAATATGAATGATTATTATAGAATCAGATTGTTTGTAAACAAATAACTTAGAAGATGTAAATAAAGCATTTATTCAAAACTATAATTCTTGTTATGTTTCCTTGTACCTTCAGGTGCTTGGGCTAGTAACTATGGGAACCATGATAGCACTGTTGCTGACATTTCAACTGTGGGCCCATCTCAAAAATCACCATATGGTTATCCTGAGCCTGTAGAAGTAGAAGATACATACACATGTGAATTATGTGTGACACAGTTCCCCACTATACGGTGCGTTGAATACCATAAACAACTTGTCCACAACAAGTTTTGTGATGTTTGTAACACTCGACTAGATCAGGAATCTGATGCAGCTATCTTGGAACATGGATTAACTCATAAGCACACCAAATCACACCAATGTTCACACTGTTTCAAGTTGTTTAATTCTGCAGCAGGATTAAAAGTACACCTGGGCAATGACCTGAGGTGCTTAATGTGTGGACACCAGTTCTTGAGGAGTGGTAAAACTTCCCACATGAGACAATGTAAGAAGCAGCACCCAATATAATAAAACCCAAAGACCCTTACTGGTATTAGAACATAATAGTTGGATTTACAACCCAATATGTACACTTGTATGGTAACACATGTTTGGGGCTCATGGCGATGTTTAAATATCTCACACATAGATTCTAAAGTGACATTTGTACATCATGTGGAGTTGAATACACATATTTATATAGGGAAATACAAATCCTATACCTTCTGCTTAGTAACATACACAATTATCCAATTTTTGAGTAATCTTGCTATTAAACACCTAATACATTGAACTCATAATGACATATAGACATACAATATAAGGGATTTATTCTATAAAAGCATATCAACACCTAATGCAAGAGGCTTCATAGTGGCATTGAAACACCTAATGCAAGAGGCTTCATAGTGGTAAGAAGTACCCAATGCAAGAGGCTTCATATTGGCATAGAAACACCCAATGCAAGAGGCTTCATATTGGCATATAAACGCCCAATGCAAGAGGCTTCATAGTGGCATAGAAACACCCAATGCAAGAGGCTTCATAGTGGCATAGAAACACCCAATGCAAGAGGCTTCATAGTGACATATTAAAACCCAATGTAAGAGGTTTCATAGTGGCATAAAAAACAATGCAAGAGGCTTCAAAGTGACATATAAACACCTAATGCAAGAGGTTTTGTAGTGGCATATGAACACTGAATGCAAGAGGCTTCATAGTGGCATTGAAACACTCAATGCAAGAGGCTTCATAGTGGCATATAAACACCCAATGCAAGAGGCTTCATAGTGACATATTAACACCCAATGCAAGAGGCTTCATAGTAGCATATAAACACCCAATAAAAGTGGCTTGGTAGTGGCATATAAACAAGCAATGCAAGAGGCTTCATAGTGGCATAGAAACACCCATGCAAGAAGTTTCATAGTGGCATATAAACACCCAATGCAAGAGGCTTCATAGTGACATATAAACACCCAGTGCAAGAGGCTTCATAGTGACATATAAATAACCAATACAAGAGGCTTCATAGTGGCATATAAACACCCAACGCAAGAGGCTTCATAGTTGCATATGAACACCCAATGCAAGAGGCTTCATAGTGACATATAAACACCCAATGCAAGTGGCTTGGTAGTGGTATTTAAACACCCAATGCAAGAGGCTTCATAGTGGCATTGAAACACTCAATGCAAGGGGCTTCATAGTGGCATTGAAACATTCGATGCAAGGGGCTTCATAGTGGCATAGAAACTCCAATGCAAGTGGCTAGGTAGTGGCATAGAAACACCCAATGCAAGAGGCTTCATAGTGGCATAGAAACACCCAATGCAAGAGGCTTCATAGTGGCATATAAACACCCAATGCAAGAGGCTTCATAGTGGCATTGAAACACTCAATGCAAGGGGCTTCATAGTGGCATATAAACACCCAATGCAAGAGGCTTCATAGTGACATATTAAAACCCAATGTAAGAGGCTTCATAGTGGCATAAAAAACAATGCAAGAGGCTTCAAAGTGACATATAAACACCTAATGCAAGAGGCTTTGTAGTGGCATATGAACACTGAATGCAAGAGGCTTCATAGTGGCATTGAAACACTCAATGCAAGAGGCTTCATAGTGGCATATAAACACCCAATGCAAGAGGCTTCATAGTGACATATTAAAGCCCAATGCAAGAGGCTTCATAGTGGCATAAAAACAATGCAAGAGGCTTCAAAGTGACATATAAACACCTAATGCAAGAGGCTTTGTAGTGGCATATGAACACTGAATGCAAGAGGCTTCATAATGGCATTTAAACATAGTTGTCATGCTGTAAATATTTTATATTTTTGTAGTTAGTTTAATCTAGATTAGGTTATGTTTTGTAAATTGCACATTGTCCTGACTAATATTTCATTGTGATGACATCAAAGAGTCAATAAAAGAGGATTTGAACAAGAAACTAGTTGCAAGGAAATTAAATCTTGGGTTTTTATTTAAATTTTATTATATGCGCTTTTAATGTTTTTTAATGCATATTCAAATATGACCGTGCTCTAATTGAATTTCTCAACCAATCAGAATGTAGTACTGCCAATAAAGAATGTTCTCTATTTCTCAATACATGCATGACCATGATCTATTCAATCATCCAGGGATCTATATATTGTGACATCACACCTATGAATGACAATAATAACAGCAAGTTTGGTTATTTTATGGACATCAATCCCTCATTCTCTGAGCAATGTTTTCATTTTAATGTTTGAATCGGAATAAATAATTATAAGCCCTTCAATTTGGTGAAATTTTTCGGAGGATGTTTCATCAAACCTTTTGTATAGATTATTTATTTAGTATTTTTTCAATCCTTGCATATATATTGATATGCATTGTCTTTGAGGCCAATATTCTTCAAAATCGTTGTTCTTCGTATTCTCAAGATATATTAAGGTTTAATATGTGTGTTTGAGTTGGTCAATTTTCCCAATTACAATATTCAAAACTATACAGATATTTAATTCCAATAATATTTATTAGAATAGAATTAAACATTGTCCTATTATTCACTGTTTTATTCCTCACCACATTAATGGAATAACAAACTATTGATGTCTAATTAATCATAACAATGTACTCCCGGGCATGATGACTATTAAAATTACACTGGACTATGTCGTGACTGGTAAATATATAGAGGATATCCTATGATTTATGAATCACATGATATTTGCACGACCGAGCGTATCACGAGTAAATCATAGGATGTTCTTTTTATTCCATAGTTAAAGTCATCATCAGAATCGTCAGAAATTAGGTGATTTAAATCGAATTTTCCAAATATTGACACTTAGCCTCGTTTTGAGTCTGTAGTAGCAAAAAATCCATAATTTATAGCATACGGCGCCGTATGTCATGGCTAAAACACCATATGCTATGTTTAAGTGAAAACTTGATAAAAATATCATATTTTACCACTGATTACAAAAATAATATTTTTATTTTGACATGTTATTCTATGAATATAATGCTAACTATGGAATAACATTTGATATTCAACATAAATCAAGTGACTTCCGTTGAATATTGCTTGTTATTTTTAGTTGTGTGTAAGACATGAACCAATCAGAGAGTGAGGAATATGACAGTGAAATAAAAGAGGATATCCGACCCATTCTCTGAATATGAAGCAGTTTATGTTAGTAGAAGTTCTATTAATGAAACATGATTACTAATGTACTGTAGCTATATACTACAGTGATTTATTGTTAAAGGTCAACTATTCTAAGACTACACATGTTTTTTTATATACTGTACATGTACATGTTTTCATATACATGTGTATACACTATAATGAATTATTAACATCACATAAACTTTTTCACGATCATGTTCTGCATGTAATGACATTTAATTTATATTGCCTTACAGTTAATATGTTCTTTTAGACAAAGAAACCTAACTTTATAGACATTCATTTAAAAAGCTGACAAAGAACATCTTGAAAATAAATAGGCTAATGTAGTCTAGAGATAGTTAAAATTTATTAGTTAACGCTGCAGCATGTGCCCTGTGTGTGTCTAGTGGATTGTTTTATATTGTAATTTGTAAAATACATGAAATAAATTGAACTAAATGTGAATGTAAAAAAAAGTTAATCGAGTGTCATTCCATAAAGGACATGTACCAAAAATGTAAAATATCATCCCTTATTGCATTGCATTGTTGATGTACTACAGTGCGTACCAAAAAAATGCAACAATCAAAATATGTGATGATTACATCAATTTAGTTGAATTAACCATGAAGCCACGTGTCTCCCCTTTTCAATGGTATATCATTTGTTCATATCTGATGATGGATTATTGAATAATCATTGTTTTTTCATGCATGGGTGAAAAGGCCTTTGTGCCAAGTTTTGAAATATCCTCAGTAACTGAACAACAAGTCAAGTCAAGTAACAAGTAACAAGTCAACTGATCCTATTGTGCAATCAGGTATTAAATCATCATGTAATTGGGACTGGGGATTAAATTCTGGTCATATAACACAAGTTTCATATTTATATCTACTAAGAAAAAAGATTTAATTTTAAGTGTTCATCAATATCCTTGATGGTTCAGTTTGACAAAAAGGAAGTGGCATAAACAGTGAAGTCATTTCAATAAGTCACAATCATTGCCTGTCATCTTATGAAAGATTGCTGTAAAAGGGACTAAATTTTGAGATATTTTAGCATCTAACTGATTTCCTCCAAGAATTTTGTGTGTTACAGAATGTTAAGCAACTAAGTAAAAATAGTTTTAATTGCTATTTTATTATTAGGAATTACTGTTCATGATATCAACATACAGCTTCAGAAAAAAACTATTCTTTGCATATAATGTTAGACATTATATTTGCAGTGCTGTTCAGTGAGTCCATACATGGCTCCAGTCATTCAGTGCAACTGGACCAAGGACATGCTACAATTAGAGATTCTACCAAGCAACCTGCTGATGAATATGGAACAATTTATGTCAACTTCAACGTACCATATGGAGACAATTCTGGGGTAGATGCTAGATCATTAAATGAGTTACCCCAGCCAGAAGAAATGGAAGGTGATGTGCTATGTGAGTTGTGCCACTTGACTTTGCCCACAAAGAAATGTTTAGAATATCATACAGCTTTGGTGCATAATAAATTCTGTGATGTATGCAGGGAAAGGATTGATGATGACCCAGACCCTGGTAACCATGGCAGGAAGCACATTGGGTGCAAACCTATACACTGTGACCACTGTTTCAAGGGCTTCCAGACTGAAAGTGGCCTCAAATTGCATCTAAGTAAACCACTGATGTGCAAGATCTGTTTTAAAACATTCAAGAGCAATTATAAAAGCCAACATATGAAGAGTCACACGTTGGGAGAGAAGTGAACAACCACTGTTGGGAGAGCAACCACAGCAATACAATATACGCTTTGCGTCAAATTGTATTTGATTATATGTAACATGTTAAAATTGGAAAAAATGAAATTTTAAATGTTAAGGATTGCCTGTGACTTTACTTAGATTATTGCTCCATTTCAAATGATGTCTTAAATATACAATTTGTAAATCACAATTTTATTTGTCCTTAAAATTCCGATGCAATATTTAAGCTAGAATATGTATATTAAATACATATCCATTTTGACCATGTATTTTTAAAACCTATACTGTTTATCTCATAGTCATATATAGATATGATTTATAAAGGAGATTGTCTGGACATAGTTTTGAAAGTTTTTTCAAATATTTAATGAGTTGAATATCAAAAAATAAACTAAGGGGAATGACCCAGCCCTCCATAAACTGCTAGTGTAGCAGTTGATGTTTTCACACAAAGGTTGCATTTTAAAAAGGAAAGATGAATAGTTTCAGTTGTCTCAATGTTTTACTTACTTGCCCATATTTCTGAACCATACATCAAAATTGGTTGGACAAGCGAATCAAATACATGTAAGGCAACAGATGCTATTAAAAAGAATGTCATTAAACTAATGGTATTGCTGCTTTAATTTTAGATATAGCTTTTGCATATTTGCTTCTCAAAATTATTTGTCCTGTTGAAAATACACCTTGGATACTAGTATTTGTAATCTCCAACACATGCAATCACTTCATTATTGAATTTAAAGTTTCTGATTTAGACTTTGATTTAGATTTAAACAGAGCTGAGCCCTGCACAACACCAATTGTCATTTTTAGTTTGAGGCATGATTTTGACTCTCAGTATACATGAGCTATAAAGCTTTATCTCATTTAGACATAGTTATTTTCAGTCATTTTCAGTGAAATTATATTAAATTGATTGATGATATGGTTGATATAAGTTCTTATCGTATGATCCCGATTGTTCAGCTCATGTGCTGTACCAACCTGTATTGCTACTGAGATTGTCCCCATTTATCACGTCTGTCGCAATACAGGAAATATTGGTATGGAGAAGACATTTTCAGTAGCAATACAGAGGATCACACGATAAAACATTATAGAATGATTTGAAGTGCATTACATGATGTATTCTGCTCTTGGTATTCTGTTTTGGCACTTGACTTTGTCTTGTTATATACAGAATTTCTCGAGCAAAATATATCCTGTATTGCATTTTAAATCATTCAATAACTTATAATTTTGATTGTGAAACCCAAAATTTAAATTATTCCATCGAACAAAGTTCGGAGGGATATAGGGAACGCCTCCGTCTGTCCGTATGTACATCCTTCCAGGCAATAACTTCATTGGCCCGATAATACCATTGGCCCGATTTTGTTCATATTTTGTACACATATACCCTATGGGGGTAGAAGTTCTACTCGAAACCCAATTTTCAAAATGGACGCTCATTTGAAAATGGCGGCCGTTTAGTTCCTATTTTACAGTAATTTAGGTACAATATGTAAAACTGTAATAGGAATATGTTTTAAATGTAAAAAAAATTATTTAGGACACTAACAAAGCTAGAAATGTAGATATTAAAGAAGCACATGGCAGCCATCTTGAAAAATGGCAGCCTTTGCTCGTTATTTTACAATTTTTGCTGTAACTCGTAAAGTAATGGCGAGATTTTGTTCATATTTGGTATGTGAATACTATAAGCATGGCATACTGTCTAATGACACTTTTGGTAGAAAAATGCCTGCCATTTTAACGTATTCTACTATATCAGCCATGGCCGTTCGATGGGACTTGCTACCCTTTGGCGTTGCTGTTGTCTAGTTCACATAAACTAATAATACAAAGCTATACTTGTGAGCATAAGGTACACTCTCACTTATGATGAGTGAAATCTGTAATGATGAGTAGAGGTTCTGTTAGTAAATTGAAAATTAACAAAGTACTCTCATGGTCGACTATTTATTAGAATGAGAGCATTTTACAAATTATGTACTGCGTTTGCCTAGCAATGATTGTTTCTTTGTTTAAGTATCTCAAGGTAATAGAAATAAAGTTCTGTTTTATAAAGTCAGGAAAAATGTATGTGTGTTGTTTTCTAGTTTTTCAGTTCAAAGTCTCAATTCATATTTGAAAAACATAGTTTACATTGGCTCATAAATTTAGTTTTCATAGTGACCATTTTCCCATCTAGAAACAACAATGATTGTATTTTACAGCTTCTCCTCAGCAATGATGTTCCTGATCAAATGTTTCATTTCCAAATTGCCATCATCGTTTTGAGTTTTAATAGTTATTCTTTCCACATGAAACTACTGGGCCATTTTAACCTTCTTATCAGTAAGTTATTCAGTGGTTTTACAACCCTCTTTTGGTAGGAGAATTGGATCTAGCTAGCAAGTTTCTAAATTGTTTCAATCTTAAGAATATTTTGGGCTAGTATCATTCTTTGTCATCTCTGTTTTCTAAAAATCCCCAAAGTGCATACTTTATTTCAGAAAAACTAAAGATTTTGACAACAATGTGTTAGTTTTCAATGATTATTGTTGCCATTTTTATTATTTTGTAGAATTTTCCACCATTTTTGCACTTTGAATCCTTAGAGTTGTACTCGACCTATTTATGCTGCCTTACCATATGAAGGCCACACTTTACGATGGTGAACCACCAACAATTCAAAAAGTTCATTTCATGCTGTAAGGCCAAACTATAATTATTGGGTTAACATTTTCAGTTATCGATATATGGTTTCACAAATGCATTTCCATCAATTCCTTGTATATGTAATGAATAATATTGCAGTGCTCTTTCCTCAAAGATTTCTTTTTGTGAAGTTCAATCAATTAAAAATATTTATTTGGCAATTGGAATACCTGCGAATGTGGAACCAATACTTTGGTTCAGCCTTCATAGTAGTTTGCAACAACAACTTTTCGATTCAGCGCCAGAATAATGCTTAGGTCACATTTGCTCAGATTCATCGGCTGGCGCCATGCAGATTGAGTATTTTGTTCAAAATTGCATACAGTTTTGAGCAGAATACTCAATCGCCCGGGTGCTAGCCAATGAATCCGAGCAAATGTGACCCAGGCATAACTTGGCACACGGTACCTCATGGTCAGATGACCTCAAAAAGTGTGCAAAAATAACAACATTCTTATCTTAATCACAAGCTTTGTAGTCAAAATAAAAAAAGGGATGCTATTTGTCCTAAAAACAAGATAATAAGAGATTCTGCTTTTAAATCCTCTCACCCAGTACCCTTGTTTGCGTAATATATAATTAATTTAAAGGGGAATATATGTTTCCTGTTTCTCACACTCATAGATATACTCACTCTACCATCACCAAAACACAATATAGACTGTGTTCAGTAGCAAATGGTCCAGTGGTTAAACAAATCATCCTATTATCCCCTGAAGGAGTTATATAAATTGGACCAATCTGATCTGTGCATGCTGATAATTTTATGTTGACAATAAGACCATATTTTATTTCCAAACTCCTTCTTGATTTATCCTTGTCTATATCCACTTTTCACATCCATCAAATGTAAATACTTTATTCCGGAATAACATGGGAATAAACTTGATATTCAAAAAATCCCGTATCAGCCAAAATCCTGTATCAGATCCCGTATTCAATCCCGTATCAGCCAAAATCCCGACTCAGAACTATCAGAAAATTTCATGAGACTTAATATTGTGTTATTATGGTATATTATGATCCATATTATAGTCAATTTGTCATTTTCTTAACGTATGAATATTTAAAAACATGATGTTTTTCTGTGCAAATACTATCATTAGGGTTTATTGGAGTGATTTAGCTGGGTTGCCAAAAAATTAACGTTGGGGAAAATTTTTGTATCTATCACCATGGTAACATACCAGGTACATGGTGGTATCCCGAAGCTAAGTCAATAATCAACGCCATGTTAAGCCAATGCACCCCTCCCTAATCAGCCGATATACTTTTTTACCAAAACTAACTTTTTGTCCAACCCAGTTAAATCACTTCAGAAAATCCTTGTTATTATAAATTAACCATAAAACATCGTGTTTTTAACAATTCATAGCTTCACTATAGTATGTATAGGGGTGACAAATGGACTATTAGTATTATAAATTAATTCTATTTTAAAATTTGTTAATAAAAGTTGAAAATATTATTCGATAAATTAGATTGTTTATTTATTGTTTATTGATGGTCGTGATGGAATATGAATTTTCCTTGAGAAAATATGATATTGGCCTCGGAAAATATCATATTAACACCGGGGCTGTCGCCCTCAGTCAATATGATATTTTCCTTGGTCAATATCATATTTTCCCTCACAATAGAATTCATATTCCATCCCTCCCATTAAACAACATCTATATATACATGATATATAATACAAAAATATGTATTTGCTTCAATTATTTCTCACTCCAGAGATGCCAACATTCTACTCTGAGACAGAGAAGCCCCAGTCTACCCAGAGTTCCAAGGCCCCCTCCAGTTCAAGCGCAATACCAGCCAAGTACAAGAGGTGGATAGTTGATGACCCAACAGACACTAACTGCCCTCAGTGTGGCACCTTCCCCACCCAGAAATGTCTGGAGTATCATCGGCAAGTTGCACACAATAAGTTTTGCGATGTTTGCAATACTCGTTTGGACCACCTAGAGTTGAGTGAACTGATGCACCATGGGATGCTTCACACAGATGTAAAGCCATTCCAGTGTGAGGTGTGCTATAAGTTATTTGGGTCAAAATCTGGCCTGTTCATACATCAGATCAAGAATGTCATGTGCACAATGTGCTCAAAGATATTCCAACCTGGCAGGATATCCTCCCACATGAAGGCTTCACATGGCATAGGTTGAACTCTTTGATCAGATCAGCGTGATGTTTGTGCATTACTTGGCACTGGTCAACCCTCAAAATGTGACCTTGACATAGGTTGACCCAGGGGCAATATTGGGGTCAGCTTAACATTCTAACAATATTGGGTGTAAAAGGTCGTTTCTGACAAATAAACATTGACATGTGAACTTTACATTGATTGATCCCTGAATCTCAGCAAGATACTCCAAACTACAATGTTGCTTGATTCAATTTATTTTATTAATCTCAAAAATCAATATATATGAATAATCTCAAAAATCAATATATAAAAATTCATAAAATATCATACATAAAATCTGAAAATAGACAATTAGATGTTGGTGAACATCTCTCTTTTGATCACAACTTAAAAAATATATGGCATTTGTATAAAATAATTAAATAATATATCAAAAGCTTCACACTATAAATATATTGTACAGCAGATTGTGATCATGATACACAAATCATGGTTGGATTAATATTCAACTCTTCAGTTCAGTAATGCTGCATTTTTAAAGTTTTAAAAATATTTGCTTCATTTTTTAAATTTCCCACTGATCAAAAAATTGAAAAGATTGAAATACTCTGTCATACCTGCCAACCTACCGTATTTTTACGGGAATCTACCGTAAATTTTTCGTTTTTCCGTAAAAAAATGACAAACTACCGTAAAAAAATACCATTTTTTTCCCGTAAAAACGCCCGTAAAAAAATCTACCGTATTTTTTTCGTAATCTACCGTAAATTTTATTTTTAAAAAACTCGTTTATTCCATGAGAACGGCCGTAAAATCTACCGTAAATTTTTGAAAATCTACCGTAAATTATCGAAAATCTACCGTATTTCTGCTAAAATCAACAGTATTTTTGTTCAAACTACCGTAAAATTTCCCGTTATCATTATTGAGAAATGCTGAGAAACTGAAGTTTTCCTGTACTGTCCCTGTAATATTCCTTCACCAACCAAAATATAAATAGGTATCGGCAGGTCTGTGGTTATCAGGTTATTGCGCATTTATCTAAGTAAGCTTGCGTGTAATCAGTCCAAACACCAACTACCACTAGCTAGAAAGAATTCTTTCTGCCATGATTTTTGTAGTTAACCAAACCCTTTTGTACACAGATTTTTATTCCGAATGCAACAAAAACATGATTTTAGTTGCACTTCATCTAAATAAATGAGTGGAAATGCGTATGCATATTTAGCGTATGAAATATGCGTAGTTTGATTTGTTATGATCAGTAATGAACGCCACATATACATAGTTTAATCAATTTGTTTACAGAACGATAAAATGTTGTATTTTTCATCAGAACACATTATTAGTAACAAATACATAATTAAAAAATAAAGCATTGAGTTCTGGTTTATTATAAAAGTATTGTGATATCCGAATCTGAACGATGTCTCAGGGGAAAGGTTTCAGCAAATGCTCATAACAGATTAAGACTTATTTTCTATTTGTGCCAGACAAACACATTGATATCATTAGACTTGCGAGTGAAAAAATCAATATTTAATATCATATGATTCCAATGTTATATGAACATTATGTCTGTCATTTCAATTCGTTTAATATGAATATTGTGTTCGTATTTTGAATCAATCTAGATTTATTGTAAAAGAGTTGCTGAAACATAAAAATCCAAAGTTGCTGTCTGTCCATTGTAGGCATGGTAAATAAAAAATAAAAAGTGTTTAGTCTCTATTTATTCTTGAAAATAGTATATCTATCATTTCTTGAAAATAATAGTTTCGTATAATTCTAAGGTGGTAGTTCTGCTTTACAAACTGTTATTATCAAAAGCACTCTTGCAGTAAAATATGTATTCACAATAACAACAACAACAATATGACCACGTAAACATTGTATTAATATAGAAAACCGCATTGTATAAAGGTTTAACTACCGCATTTTTCAAAATCTACCGAAAAATACCAGTTTTTCAAAAAATTACCGTAAAAACTACTGCAATTTTCAAAATCTACCGTAAAACTACCGTATTTTTTCGAAATCTTCCGCAAAAGTACCGGTTTTTCAAAAAATTACCGTAAAAACTACTGCAATTTTCAAAATCTACCGTAAAACTACCGCATTTTTCAAAATTTTCCGCAAAACTACCAGTTTTTCAAAAAGCTTCCGTAAAAACTACCGCATTTTTTCAAAATCTACCGTTAAACTACCGCATTTTTTTCAGAATCTTTCGCAAAACTACCGTTTTTTTTCAAAAACTACCGTAAAAACTACCGCATTTTTTAAAATCTACCGTAAAACTACCGCATTTTTTCTAAATCTTCCGCAAAACTACCGCTTTTTTTCAAAATTCTACCGCAAAATTACACTTTTTTCAAAAATCTACCCCAAACATCTGAAACTACAGTATTTTTTTAAAATCTACCGCAAAAACTACCGTATTTTTTAAATCTATCGCAAAAACTACCGTTTTTTTAAAAATCTACCGCAAAAACTACCGTTTTTTTCTAAAATCTACCGCAAAAACTACCGCAATTTTGTTGAAAAATACCGCAAAAACTACCGTATTTTGAAAAAATCTACCGCAAAAATACAGCAATTTAAAAAAAATCTACCGCAAAATTTTGGTCTTAGGTTGGCAGGTATGTCTGTACTAATTGTAAAATACAAAGCAGCCTTAAAAGATAATAAAGAATATTGGTGGCTATAAGTTATTGAAATTAGTTTAAATAGTATACCATAGTGGCTGTAACAATATGTATGGTGTCACCACTTCTTGGTATAACATTTTGTAACATTTTGTCTCAATACTTGGGAGTGTAAAATTTCATATAATTCATATAACAAATCCAAAATATATTTTAAATGAGCATCTCAATATGATTTACATACAATTGCATAAATTAACAACAGTTTTGCACTTGTACTAACTGAATGTAGGAAGCCTTACAATTTGTTATACTGCAAACATTTCATAACAAGGCATTTACATGACAAAATGTCACCACCTGCCATTTGTTACAGATGCCGACCATCAACCACTGAACAACAACTCATGATGGCATAAATATACAAGGCATTAACATGACAAAATGTCACCACTAAGCTAGTTATTGAAAATGGTTACAAAAGTGTAACAATAGTTACAGTATACAATTGTAGACCTCTCTTCAAAATTTGAAGTTAGTCTAAACAATACTTGTTATGTTGTAAGAATTTGTTACAGACACCGACCATTGGATGCCAAACACCATCAAGTTGGAGACTGTAGCAATATGTCACCACTCCTGGTGGTGACATAAAACATTAAAGGATGGATAAAACTATCAAGTGCTTAGAAAATAATACAAGAACACAAAAGTGTACATGTCCCTGCCAATGGGCAATCCAATATCATTTTTTCATCCTGAATGCCAAACACCGTCAAAACGTGTAGACAGAAAAGACTTTACAGACAAGATTTTAGGACGGAAAATCCAAAATGGCCATCTTAACATTTACCCGGAATGCCCAAAACCTAATCAGTTCCAGAATCTCGTTAGTAGATTCCCCAAATTATTTCACAATTACATACAAATTTAACTCTTACTTGGGTAAAATAAGTTTTCTTTCATATTACAATCGATTCCTCATATTAATAAAAAATATTTGATAATAACAGCCTATAATAAAACTATCAAGTGCTTAGAAAATTGAGAAATATGTAGGAAATGCTTAAATCTATTAATGATGTAATTTATTGCAGGAAATGATCAAGTATAAGGCAAACTTTAAGAATCTTGTCAATCACAAAACCTGCCATTGACTTTATACATGAGAAAGTTTCCTGAAAATGACTAAGTCCTACTTTTTTTCAAATTTTATAGAGTAAACACCAAAAACCGTAATTCCAAGAGCTTTGAAATCTTCAGAGGACATAAATTGAATATACACCAACTAATAAAAGTTATTTGAAAGTTCTACTTCAACAAAGTGTCTAGTATTTACAGAAAATTTGACTTTTTGACGTCAAAATCGCAATTTCTCGGAAACCGGGCAAACTTGGGAAATGGCGATGATAGGTCAAATAGGCATTATGGATATGCATAAAATGAATGTGGATATGACTCAATCCGAATAGCAGTTTTAATTTGTGCGGCCAATGTTGACGGACGGATGGACCAACGGACGGACATACCAACGGATGGACGGACGGACCAACATATCCCATGTTATTTTCCCATAGGGAAAACTCGTGCTATCCATTAACTTCAGCATAATTTTGGTCATCCAAAATTGATATCTTCAAAACTAGACTTTCAATACCATTCTACTTTTGAGAAAGTTTAAGACCCCTTGTTGAATAAACTTTTCGTGCAATAAAAACTAGAAAAAGAAGATCCTCTTTTGAGTAAATAGGTTCAACATTTTGAAAAAAAAGGTTGACATGGGGTCCCTATTCAAAAAATTTTGAATTGTTCGACTGATATTTTTTATCATCATGGGTACTTTACAAGAAAGAAAACATTACATAAAAAAACACTGTATTTATGCCCAGAAAGTATTCATGGTTCAATATATGACTGTCTAAAATCACCTGGCACACTGCACATGAACCTTTATTTTTACATTCCAGTTTTCCTTCAAAAGAATTAATTCTTCTGATCCACAAATAATATGATAATATTTTACAAGTGCAAGTAGACCGAGATCAAGGTTGATATTCCAAGAATATTACAGAGACATCATCCTACTATTTAAAGTAACAATTTATGAACATTTAAGTCTGGACTACTAGATCACATATTTTCAAAGTTCCTCTTCAAACTTTCCAGGATCCTTTGATGCCTTTGACAAAGATATTAACATTAAATATCTCATAAAACATACTGTATTGGTGTATAAAAACTATTAGTAGTGGAAATAAACCAAACTGTCAAAGAATGAATTAAAACCTTCTAATAATACATGCATATCCAACTCCAGGTAGTACTGCACTATAACGCTATCTCCATCCTAGTTAGTGGTGTATGATCTCAGTGGTTTTCTGGTGATTCTAAAAGGAACCAGTCTCTTGTACACGACTATAACACCTAATATTGTCATAAGAACTATTGCACAGACTGTGACAAATGACACCCGCGGTCCAAAATGTGAGTAGAAATAACTGATGAAGATTGGTCCAACCATACGAGCAAGACTCCCAGATGCTGTAAACCATCCCATCATTGTTCCCTACAAATAGAGAAAAGAAGCCAATAGTTCATCTTTATTGTATTCTAACCAGCCAGAATAAAATTATCTCTTCCACACACCACTTTTGGCTGGTGCAAATTGTTAAATCATTATTAAAAATTTTGAATCATTCACCTCATTCATTCGTAATGGATCAATAGATACTTTTTGACCGATCAGCAATGATGAAAGCATCAGTCATAGATCAATAAAAACAAGGTTCATCTTTACATGAAGACATTGTCATATACTATAGAAGGTTATACCCCTCCTTCCTATGAACACATGATCAGAATATATTATTTACTTTAAAGTAAAGAGGAAATGTTTACCTGTGGAGTTGGGCCTAATATCTTAGAATATATTGTGTATGACATCACATTGCACGTAGGATATCCTATTGCAACACACAGGGACCCTACTATATTTTGAGCAAATGATATCTTTGGAATGTAGGCACACCAGGCTTGTGAGGTTGGGCAGCCCACTGGGGTAACATCAGTGCCATTGATAATTAGTGGCCCTACTGTGCTAGACTGGTTTGTATTGTTCATTATTGCTGGGACAAGCTCTGGAACAAGGCATTAACAAAATGTCACTACCTAGTTGCTCAAAATATTAGGAGTTCAATCTTAAGTCAGATTTGAATTTCTGAGAACTTATGGATGATTTTGAAAACATTTAGAGTCATGGTTACATGATCACAATTTATCTTTAAATACATACTTGTTAACTGATAATCAGGATATATATTGCCCCAGGGCAGGTAGACTATGAAGCCTGCCAGTATAAAGATAAAGCCTCCAAGCAGGATGGCTCTCTCATTGATCCTAAAATACAAAATGTTTTATATTGTAGCACAAAACAAGTTTCACATTCATATTTCATATGCACATGCAAAATTCTTCATTGCAGTTTCATTAGTTTCTGGGAAGAGACCAAAATACCAATCAACACAAATGAATAACATATTTTCTGATCAATAAAACCAAGATTAAATCTGTTATAATAGAACTGGACGTGGGTTTAGTGACGTTTAATTGTTTACATCACTTTATTTCAAATTCTGATTTGGATTCGATTATAAATGCTTAGTCTTAATCTTCAAATGATTACTCTGATTTCTACTAGAAATGTTTTGATTTCCCTGCTTCATAAAATGAACATAATCACATTTTCTCATTTCGAAAATTTACTTCTGGTTTATTGAAAATAAAGATGAGCTGTAAAAGATCCTGGTACAACACTTATAATCCTGACCTCAGTCTAAATATGGCTTTTAAAGATTCAACAGATGACTTTTTATGGAGCTTTTTGCATGTTTTTAAAATACAACTTGTACATGTAGAATCATCACATGATTTAAACTATTTTTAACTAAAACCTGATCAATGTTACATTTGACTTGAATAGCTCAAAGATTAATCACTCACATATTGTATTTTAAAGTAACAGACTGTTACAGTGTTAAGAATTTGTCTATGGTATTAACTAAAAAGCGCCACTGCCTTTAGAGGGCATGCTTTTCTTTTGAATATTTTAGTTAAATTGACAATGTATGATTCAATAATTTGAAAACATTTTACAGATATTTTGTCTTTAAAGACATGTAAGACAAAGATTTCTATTTAAGCTGCGGTGTTGAGACAGCTGGGGTTTTAGGTTTTCATATACATTTAATTTTGGTACTTTCATGTAACAGAGCCTTTCTCTATATCCCCCTTAACTTTGTTTCGATGGGATAATTATATGCTGAAATTGCTTTGGACATGTATTTTTATTATTGAGGCTCCCAATGCTTCTCAATGTCAAAAGATGACTTTATCTAAGCAACATGCTCACTCTTGTCCCATTCCCCAATTTCACATGTACTTATTCTTCCTAAATTTAGCCTCATTTAAGCCACTTCTTCCACAACTGAATGACATTTGGACAACTTCTTTTATTGAATCTGGAATGTTTCTTACTTCTTTGTGACTACTTTGATAGCCATGAAGACAATAACTGCAAGTATTCCAGCACATGCCAGGATGATGCCGTTGTAGAGGGTGGCCTGGGACTTTGTCCAGTCATACATGTCCATAGACACAGGAGTACTAATGCTGGAATGCAACAATACATGTGCCCAGATAACTTAACTGGTTATCCAGGTAAAAAGGTTGACTCACAGGTTTCAACAATTTTAATTAACCTAAAATTGTGACCATAAATATTAATGAACATGATTGATAAACACTCTACTCTGAATTGATGAGGAGATCTTAGTGTACTGTAGATTGACCCTTTCACGCTTCAATAAAATCTGTTTCACAAAGAAGTCTAACATGAGTTGTCTATAACTTCATGAAAGAATTAGAACTTTTGAGACAACTGGTATATGGAATAAGCTGAAATTCAAGTTTTGATCTTTACGGAAGAGTGGAGCCAGAGAAGTCAAACTTACGTTTCAAATAGGGAGAATACAAATAAGACAACAAAGAATGTGATATTAGATGCCACTACTGCCACCGTATCAGGTTTGTCCACATCAGCCTCTGTCAAGAGGTCTTCAGTATCTGGAAGATAGTAATACAATGATTCTGAAACTAGAAAATGGCAACTCTACTGAGTAGCAAATCTCATGACTTCGTTCATTGCAATAATAACTCCCATATATACAATCTTTATGAATTTTCTTGTGTACACGTGTACGGATTGTTCAATGTTGGATTCAACTTTAAGTTTTAGAGAATACCTTTTTATGTCTGCCTCTATTGTTAGAGTCTATAGTTTACATAATTTGGTTTTTTCAAAAGCCTACCATAAAAACTCCAGTTTTTCAAAAAACTCCCACAAAAACTCCTGTTTTTTAAAAAAAAAGTTGCAAAATTCCAGAATTTTTTCAGAAATCTCACGTATAAACTACCGTTTTTTCAAAAACCTAAAGCACAAAAAACTTCTTCCTCAAAAAATACCATGCCGAAAAACTCCCTTTTTTCAAAATCGTCCGTAAAAACTACCATTTTTTCAAAAAGCTACCGCGTTTTAAAAAAAACTCCCACAAAAACTAGCGGATTTTAGAAAAATCTCCTGTAAAAGTACCACAATTTTTAACTCTCACACAAATTTTCCATTTTAGCTTGGCAAGCCTGAAATATGACAATGACCTCGGTCAATATCATATTTCCCTTGATCAAAATCATATTACCCTGGAATAAAATTCATATTGAAAATCAATTGTATACCGTATTCTCTGTAATTAGCGCCCAGGGCGTTTAGAAAATTGAAAATACATTATTTAGACCATTCTAATAAGCGCCCATGTATGAAAGAAATCAGAAATCCCGAGGAATTTCATGTATGACAATTTTTCTTGACAAGAATGCATTTTCTTCAACATATTTTTATAATAATATGACAAGTGCTGTTATTGGAGAGAATACGGTAAAGATCGCTTAGACAATATTGACAGTGGTTGAAGACCCGTCTATGTCTAATTTATTTCCGGCACGCCCACTTTGTCATTATCACCGATTACCTTCAATATTTCCACTAGAGACTGCTGGATATCGATCTAAAGTTATACATTATTTCTAATTTGATGAGAGATCATCATTATTCGTGCAAAAGTCATGTAAAAGTCGAGAAACATTAAAAGAAACCAGAAAGTTCACGACCTTGACATGCGCAGAACATCTGCGCAGTAGCTTTTGAAATTTCTGAATGCCGATAAAGAACAATTCCTTCATTCATTATGGACTATTTGGAGACAATATTAGCATGGTATGGTGTGGGAAGCACCAATCGATAGATATGTATCGAGAGGATGCATAGAATTACAAAACGCGTCGTGTTTACAGCAGTTTTAGGGTAAGTACTCTATTATCGCCCGCTCCTGGATTTTGAGAAATATTTTTTTCCTGATATATTCTTCAATTCTTGTTGATTTTCTTGAACTTTGTGAAGCGGGGTGGGCGCTTATTAGAGAGTGGGCGGAAATTACAGAGAATACGGTATGTTTTGAAATTAATTCAAAAAAAAGAAGAGAGAAATTTTAATGGAACTTCATACCTGTGCATACCTGTAGATTTTAATGCATAATTTAAGAAATAATTCCAGACTTATGGCTCACAAAGTGATTTTTAAGCAACATTAGGAGTGCAGCCATTTTGAATTTTTTTCCTTAATAATTGCATGAATGGGCTCATATTATCACATGTTGTAGAGAAAGGTCTAAAAGGATGTGTCTGGGTATATGCCCTTTTGGTCCCTCGGTCAAATGTATGTGAAATATGGTTTTTATTACTGTCCTAGTTATATTTGATAAGTATATTTACTTTTTCATGAGTTTTGATGCATAGTTAACCCCCTGCTGAGAGTCAGAATAAGTATCTTAACAAACAAAAAAATAGTCATTATCAAAGAAAAAAAACACCAATTGCAACATGTATGACATACAGAAATAACTTAAGACCAATGAAGAATTAAAAAGAAAATCATATTTTTCAAATATATTTAAGGATTAAATTTTTTTTCAAATTTTTGAATTTCCCGCCAGTTTAATTTGAAGGGGGAAAAACAAGATGGTTGCCATTTGATGTAAGAAATATCAGGAAAAAAGTTGCTTCACTTTTAGTTTTCACAATGAGCACAGTTTTCCGGTTTAGGTTTTCTGACTGATTCTGACTCTTCATCACCAGGGTCATGTATAGAGATTATAAAATTGAAACCAAAATGTTGTGCTCAGCATGAATTGGACTGAAATATGTGTAACATCACCAACACAATTGAAGTCTCAAAACTGGATGCTCTGTAACTTTGAGTGACTATAATCCCTTGATCACCCAGATAAACACCAATTCACTTATCCAGAAATACCATACAATGTCTGTACAAAAAAAGTAACCAATGTTTTGGAAGCTATGTTTCAAACTTTTTGCATAAATAATTCATTTGATATTTGCCATTGATTTTTTTTCAATTCTGACAAAGTGATATGCACTGTCTTTGATGCCAATATTCTTCATCAATTGTGATACAAATTGATATTTTTGTAATCTCAGAAGAAGGATAAGATATTGAAGATTAATAATATTTGTGATTGAGTTGGTTTTTCAGACAATACAATTTTCAATATTTTCTAAGTCCATACCCAGACTCATCCTTTTGGTTAATTCCTTAATTTATTCTCAGTCTTAAATTTTGAAGAAATTACAAGAGTTTAACAAACATGCCTGAAAATAAGAAATTGTGCAAAATTTTACCAGTGTGATTCACGGAAATAGTTGAAACACGTTGGATGATCTTAAAACAGCTTTCAGTTAGAGATACAAGTTTAAAACCCTACCATATGAAAAAAGGGACACTAAGCAGAAAACACCATTCACACGTTCATTGATCATTTTGAAGCAGTTTTAACCATTCAACAACTGAGGGGTATGTTACTTACACAAACAGTTAGAGGGGGGCCTCTTGTGGAAGGAAGTTGCCCCCTGTGACCGGGTATCTGAGAAACCCTTCATCAATTAACTTTGAAAAATCAAAAGAAAATTCAATATTCAATGTTTTGAGCCATATTTCATGAGAATTGGTCCATGATTTATGAAGGTATTGACATTCCAAGATCATGTAGGGGTGTAATCGCGATAGGTGAAGGGTTGAAGAATCGCGGATATTGAAAATCACATTTTATCCATTTTCAGTAATGTTTGGCCAGGGCTTATAATTTCTGCAAATTTCAAGACTAAGAAAAATGTGTGGTACCAACATAAATTTTAGACCTTCCTCTACAACATGTGAAAATATGAGAGAATTCCTGCAAGTAATAAGGGAAATATGGCCCGTTGCAGGGGTTCACTTTTTTTTGGACCACCCTGTATATTGTCATACCTGATGAGTATTGTATGCTGCCACCCCCAATGTCATCATCCTGGACCTTATGTTCACTGAATATAGTAAGGATGAGGCCAATGTTAACAACACCAAGTACTGCACTGAACAATGCTGGGGCTGTGTAGAGATCAATATGCAGCTCTGGGATGTGTACAATGCCAGGGTAACCTATGGGGTAGAATGCAGCCTGGATACCTGCAAACAAACAAAATCCAAATCCAACACTCAATAACACTGGAATGTCTGATATAACCTAATTCCATCTGACATTGAAGTAAATCTGAAAAGTAGTTTTTATGGTATTGCATCACCACATGAATTGTTATATGAAGAAATAACATAGGAATTTACAGGAATCGACAGACTAATGAATGCATGAATGAAGGAACGAATGGATGAATGGATGGATGGGCAGCATCTCTATATCCCTTCTAAACTTTGTTAGGTGGGATAACAAGGAAAAGATTGTTATCAAAGTGTACTTTAAGGATATAAGAAAATGTCTCAAACAATTTTTAAGTATTGACAAATAATATGTGGATGATTTAACAGCATTTTAAAACTTTACATGGGGTCTATCAACAACTTTCGATGGCCTTTTCACTTTACAAGGACAGCCAGTCGTTGTATTTATCAACTTGTCTAAAATTGCAAAACAACCACTGTTATGGATGCTACATGCTCTCCAGCATGTATAATTGAGTTAGTTTAGTGCATTCATCATTACAAAGCAACTAATACATAAGTGATTTCAAATACTGCTATTGTAACTAGAAAACAGTAACGCCAAGGCATAGCAAATCCCATCAACAGCCACAGTTGTCATCATTTTTGAAAAGGTCGCCTATTTACCAAATTGTCAGTAGAGAGTGCAATATGCTTCTCATTATTCACATATAAAAGTTTCATAAAAGAGATCCACAACTTGTTCACTTAGCAACAATGTGAAATAGCACATATAAAATTTCAACAAAATTGATCTACTACTACCTCAAGAAAACTCAACAAATTTGGAAGATTTATTTTTTCAAGAGAAAATTTACAACTGAATTGCCAAATGAATAGGCGCAGTGCATGGCAAAATATGTTAATAGGTCAATATTAATTTATTTCGATTATTTTTTGTATAATGCATGGAAACTAACTTTAAAAAGTGAGCAATGATATTAGTGTTGTGATAATAATAACATCCCTTATACCTATTTATTACAGGTTGTGTAGACCATTGTTGCCTTATTTATAGCAAAAACATTGACTTTTGCACGTTAGTGATGATGCGCCTTTCTTAATAGATCTCATATCTTAGAAGCGTATCAGTTCAAAAAAATACTAGAAGACCTAACATATTTTGCCATGCACTGTGCCTATTCATTTGGCAATACAGTTGTTTTTCTCTTTAAAAAATAAAACTTACAAATGTGTTGAGTTTTCTTGCAGAAATCGCCTTCTCAGTCCCTCCATCCATTTTGTATGATTAACGGGCCTGGAGAAGGTCAAAACTTAAATCTAAAGTCAGATTTGAACATCTGACAACTTGTAGATGATTTTGAAAAAAAAGTGAAGTCAGTCTAAACAGTGTTTGTTAAGTTATTGGAAGTTATAAGAATTCATTACAGGTGCCAACCACAGATCGCCAATCACCAATCGCTGCCACAAAAAATGGAGACTGTAATGATCTGGACAGTACAAGTTCTAGCTTTAGAAGACCAAGTTGTATATTTGTAATCCCACACATGTACAAGTAACATAATACCTCAAAGGCAGTTAGCAAGATGATACCAGAAACTGGATATCATTACATCTCCCTTTTTCTAAAGAATGTAAAGGAATATAAAATAATACAAATGATCAATCATAATAAAGACTTTTCTTAAACAATAATCTATGAATGATTGTACATTAATTCTATTCATAGCACACTAATAATCTACAAATTGTTGATATTTAAACTGCATCCTATAATCACCCTTTATTCATACAATATTGTTAGTATCTTTAACCTTCTCAAAGTATCTCAGAAAAATGTTTCTAAGTTTGAATGATTATAAAAAAGGCAATATAGATGTCACTAATTTCGAAAGCTTTATGTTACAATATAGGAGTCACTAGTTTCGAAAGTTTATGTTTTAGATACACTCTCATTTTTTTATATCCCATGTGATTTAAGTATCTTTGAAATTATCAAAGTATCTTAATGACATCAAGTGTCTAAATAACCAGTTAACTGATCAAAAGTCACTAATTATAACAGAGTCTGTTAACTGGTTTTAACACTCTGCCAGACCTCCTTAATTCAGCAGCTGGATGCTCCACATCTATGTTTAATAAGGGGCTGAACCTGTTACTAGTTGGAACAGGTGATGGGTTGGTTGATTGGTTTGTTTCATGGGAATTTGGGGGACAAGGAGTGGGAGGTCTTGTTTGTATATCTAGGTCTTGACACATTATCTCATTAAATGGCTCCTTTGATGACAGGAGCTCTCTCCTATCCCTTCTAAAAAGTTTCCCTCCTTCTGTTTCTACCTTGTAAGATCTGGAGGAAACTTTTGCGACAACTCTGGCTTTTACATCCCATTTATCTTTCGGGTTTCTTTTCAGTCTAACCGTCTGATTGTTTTCTAACTCTGAAAGTTGCTTCGTGTTTTTGTCGTAATATTTTTTCTGCTTCTCCTTCTGCAGGGCTTTACTTTTCTCTATATTGGTAAATCTATCATTGGCCTGTATTGCAGATGGTAATCGAGTTCTTAATGGTCTCCCCATTAAGAGCTCTGCTGGTGACTTACCACACTCTAATGGGGCATTCCTGTATGCTAACAGGGCCAGATGTGGGTCAGTATTGCTGCGAATTGCTTTTTTCATCAGCCTTTTTACTATTTTGACCCCATTTTCTGCCTTTCCGTTACCCTGGCTATGGAAAGGACTACTGAATGACAAATCAAATTCATAGGTGTCTGCAAATTCCTTGAATTCTCTTGATTCAAACATAGTAGCATTATCAATTCTCACTTTCAAGGGAATTCCGAATCTTGCAAATATTGACTTTATGTGACTGATTATTGTTTTTGCCTTTGTACTTGACAGATGAACACATTCTGGGTAGTTTGAGAAATAATCGGTCACTAAAAGATAGTCCTTATCAAAGAGCTTGAAAAGGTCTATTGCAACCTTTTCCCAGGGGCCTTTTGTTTTGTCACCATTTATCAATGGCTGTTTTGCATTGTTGTACCTCAGCTCAAGACACGTTTCGCACTTTCCTATCATGTCTGAGATGTCATTATTAATGCCTGGCCAGTATACTGATTTTCTAGCTATTCGCTTACACTTTTCTACTCCCAAGTGACCTTCATGGACCCTATTCAATATTTCCTTTCTCATGCTTTTTGGGATAATTACTGTTTGCCCTTTCAAAAGAATATCATCCACTACAGTAATTTCATGTTTCATTTGGGAGTATATTTTCTCTGACCCCTTTTCCCAACCATTTCTTACATAGTCAATAATCTTGGATAATATGGGGTCTTTCTTTGTTTCTATTTGGATTTTTCTCATAATGTTCTCTGAGACAGGTATTTCACTAAATATCATGTTCACTTGATTTTCTACCTGGATATCTAGTTTTGAAATTCTTGGTTCTGATCTTTTTGTTCTGAAACTTGCTCTACTGAGGGTGTCTGCTAATACCAAGTTTTTTCCAGGGGTGTATATCATTGTATAATCATATTTCTGCAGTTTCATGAACAACCTTTGTAACCTTGGGGTCATGTCATTCAAATTTTTCTGGGATATTGGTATCAAGGGCTTATGGTCTGTTTCAAGTTCAATTTTATCCATCCCATATACGTATTCATGAAATTTGTTGCACCCTTCAACTAATCCCAAACATTCTTTTTCTATCTGGGCCCATCTTTTTTGACATTCTGTAAGGGATTTGCTACCATAAGCCACTGGCTTCCAATCAGTACCATGCTGTTGCATTAGAACCATCCCTAGTGAGTCCTTACTGGAATCTGTTGAAACTCTTGTTTTCCTTAGAGGGTCAAAATAGGCTAACACTGGGGATGAACTTATGACCTTTTTTATGTCTTGGAACTCTTGCTCATGATTGCTTTCCCATTTCCAGATAACTTGAGATTCTAAAAGCTTCCTCATGTGAGTAGTTCTTGCAGACAAATTAGGGATGAATTTTCCAGCGTAATTAATCACCCCAAATATTCTTTGAAGTCCAGTTTTGTCTTTTGGACTCTCTAAATTAGTGATTGTATCTATCCTACCTTCATCAAGTTGAACTCCATTTTGAGTTAGTTTCTCTCCCAAAAAGGTAATTTCTGATTCACCAATTTGACATTTTCCTTTATTTAACTTGACATTGAATTTGACCAGCCTTTCCATGACCATTTTTAAGCGCATGTCATGCTCAGTTGCATTTTCTCCCCAGATTATCAGATCATCGATATATACTCGTACACCGTCTAGACCATCAACTACCTGTTCCATTGCCTTATGGAACACCTCTGGGCTACTAGATATACCTTGTGGGAGACGTTGGTAACAGTACCTGCCCCAGGGACTATTAAAGGTTGTGAGGGGTTGACTTTCAGGGTGGAGTTTAATTTGAAAAAAACCACTTGAAGCATCCAACTTACTAAACACCTTTGCATTTTTCATCTCACTAATAATCAAATCCTTTTTTGGTATTGGGTAATGTTCCCTTTTGATTGACCTATTCAAATCTGTAGGATCTACACATAATCTTACATCACCATTTGATTTCTTTACAACTACCATGCTATTAACCCAATCAGTAGGGTCATTAATCTTTCTTATGATGCCTAATGTTTCAAGTCTTGAAAGTTCACTGTGCACTTTACCTCTCATAGGCACTGATACATGCCTTGGGGCATGAATAACTGGTTGTGCATTTTCTTCCAAAGATATCTTGTATGTGAAAGGCATAGACTCAAACTTGCTAATTGAATTGAATGCACTTGGATAATCATTTATCAATTTATCCACCCTTGTGGCAGGTGATTTGCTATTGTGATGCATGTTACTTTCCTCAGGACTCTTCACATTAGGCATTTTCATTTCTTTGACCTCTTTAACAGGTCTATTGTTATTGACAACCCAGACACGCTTCACAAGGCCCAATTTGTCACATGTTTTATCACAAAGCAACGAAATTCCGTTTTTTACAATGACAAAGTGGACCCTGTGACACTTGCCTTTTACTTGAACCTGTAATACACATACCCCACATGTTTCAATAGGCTGTTTGTTGTAATCATACAATTTCGTATTTCTGTTGAATATGTTAGGGGGGCATCTTAATTGTTTCAAGTCACTTTGGTTTATTATGTTTGCATTGGCCCCTGTATCTAGTCTAAATGGTATAAGAACACCATTGACCACCAAAGGAGCTACCCATTTGTCATCATTTACAACATTGATCTCATGTGATGGTTCATTGTCACTGATTTCTGAGTACTGTTCTTCAGGTTGTTCATTTACAAAATTTATGTAATACTCACAGTCACTGCTATCGGTTTCATTTTCATCATTTACAATGTTCACCTGTTTTCTGCGGCCTGATTGTCGCTTTTTTCGTCCATACTCCTTGGGTCGCGCACCTTTCGTGATGTGGCACTTAGATGAGTAGTGGTTCCTCTTGCCGCATTTGTTGCACGTTTGTCCGTACGCTGGACATTTACGGATAGCATGATCATATCCACATTGTGAACAGTCTGTTATCATCCTTGGGGTAGTTGTCACGTTGTTGATGTCCGCAGACGCAGTAGTCTCAACATTTTTAAATGTCTTCATTCTTTCAACGGTTTGCTCTGCAGCTCTGCAAATTTTCTCACAGTTTGTCAATGTCAAATCATCTTGCCTTAATAGGCGTTCTCGGAGCGTGTCATCGTTGACTCCGATTACTAACTGATCACGTAAGATAGAATCTTCCAGTGTCCCATATTTGCATGTGGTGATTTTCACCTTCAAATCTGACAGGAATTCTTCAAAGGATTCTCCATTTTTCTGTAATCTAATCCGAAATACATAACGTTCATAGGTTTCATTCTGCTTTGGGATGCAGTATGCGTCAAATTGTTGAAGTACAACTTTATAATTTGTAGAGTCTTCGTCTTTATCAAATTTGAATGTCTTAAACAGTTGACTGGCTTTGGGCCCAGCACAGGTAACGAGTAGTCCTATCTTCTGTTTGTCTGTGATTTCACCAAGGGCATCTAGATAGAACTCAAATTCACTCCTGAAATTTAACCAGTGTTTCTCCAAATTGTTGGAGAAATCCACCCTTTCTGGCTTCGGAATATTATTCATCATCATTTTTAGGCCTTTCTATGCTAATAATCCATTTTTTGTATTGTATTATTAAATATTTCACCACGCAGTACCATGTAATGATCTGGACAGTACAAGTTCTAGCTTTAGAAGACCAAGTTGTATATTTGTAATCCCACACATGTACAAGTAACATAATACCTCAAAGGCAGTTAGCAAGATGATACCAGAAACTGGATATCATTACAGAGACCATAACAATATGTCATCACGTTTTGGTGATGACATAATAATTGTAAATTTGGAACATTTGAATCATTTTTATGACATCAACATTATTTCTAGAATAAGTCTGATTTATCTGATTTAAAAATTTAGATTCAGTCAAGTACTAAATCAAACCATGTTTCTACTTCATCAACATATGCTACACGATGATTCAACTTTATGTATGTCTCATTCAGGGAATTTTGCGTATATTGAATGATGGAGATGGTAACTAGAAAACAGCAACTCCACGGAGTAGCAAATCCCAACGAACAATATATAAATCATGAATCTGTACAGTCACAATTTAATATTTACCATCTACTCTTCCATTCAATAAATATTTGAGATCATTGTACTATCGTGTAACCATACTTTCAAGAAAACTCTAAGTGATGGCAAATTCCTGCTCTAGGCAGCCATTTTGAATTTTCTGAGGCACAAATCAGAAAAACAAGTCCATAATTATGATCTACTCTGAAATTCCTTCAATTTGAGTATAATATAGCCATACTTTTGAGAGATCTGAAAATAATTGCGAAATCCCACATCAGGTGGCCATTTAGAATTGTACAGAAATTGAATCAGAAAAACGATACAATATTTGCAATCTACTCTAAATTGCCTTCCATTTGAGTATAATAAATGAATAAACGCAAGGAGCGCACGAACGCGTCTCGAACTCGCAACCTTGTGGTTACAGCCCCAATCGCCTAGCCTAAACGTGCTGGCGCTCAAGCCCTCTCGGCCAACTCGACAACCCCAAAAAAGGTTGTTTTGTTAGTCAATCTGACTAGAGGCAGCTGATGTTAATGCTCAGACACACCAGAGGAAGCACCCTACCCTATACTTCAAAAACATCTCAAAATTACCGCAAATTCTTGTTTTCCCGACCCCCCATTTACCGCCACTGGGGCTCAGGGTGAAAAACACGGGATATATGTGAAATGGATAGATGTTGTGAATATACTACCAAAATTTCAAATAACAATATTCATTATTTTTGTTTAAAATGAAAAACATATGATTTTTGTGAAAAATTCTAACCATTTTTAAATTGGCGGCCATCTTTTTTGCATAAAACTACTTTCCAATATACATTTTTCCACCAAATATGATGAAAATCTGTCAACTACTATTCGAGTTATCTTCCGGACAGACTGACTGACTGAAGGACAGATGGATGGAGGACTTCACTATATCCCTACCAAATTTCGTTCGTTGGGATAATAAAACACCTAAAAAATGTTTAAGAGATTTACCTGGTCCTATAATAAAGCCAATGGCTTGACCAGCACTTAAGTTAGCCATAGCTGGTGTTCGTTCTTTCATTGTAGTTGCTCCAGACACATAGGCCCTCACAACAGCTACATTTCCTTCAACCAAACACAAGAGTGGCATGTTCATATTTTTAAATACAAAAATAGATACAAATCATATAAAATAATATAAAATCAAAATAAACAACAAAAATACATTGAACTTGAAGCACCTTGTATTGGTAAATATGCCAAAAATTAAAATCATATTGTTCAAAGTGTTTTTACAAAATTTTGAATCCGCAATTTTGTTTTTGTTATGTCAGCTCATGTCATTTGACCAATCAGAGATGAAGGTCATCTCTATACATACATATATATTCATTGGAGTCGAGGTCATGTTTGAACTTTGAATTTACTCGTGTTTATCACAGCACTCAGTGATTAGATGGTACCGTGTCTATATGACTGCATCATGTGAAAACTAATGAATAAATGAAGAAAATAAATTATGAAAAGGGAAAATCATAACTGGTATATTTAGCATGAAGGTCAAATACAGCTGCAAAACAATCAACTTCAAAATTTTTACAACAGAGGAGTTCGGTATAGCTTTAAAATCTAACTTTTCTTTCTTTTTAATAGTATATTAGAAATCAGCGAAATTTTTCCACAATAATAATTTTGATTTATACAGTTATATCATTTAAAATATTTTCAATGACTTTAAAAATGGCTATAGATTCCAATTGACTCAATGCTAAGATTCCTTAAAACCTTGGTTTATTCTTTTGCAACAGTGTCAAGATATAGGGACAGAAAATATTGACATTTTAAAAGTACCGTTTTTTTCGTTTTGTTGACGGAAAGTCAAACATGACTATAGATGATGTTTTATGTAGGCATTTATGTATGATACTTAACCATACTCTACGAAGAATGGATGATTTTTGTAGGCATTTATGTAGGCATTCTTAAAACACGTTACTTTGCCTTAAAAACATTACTTTATTGGACTTTAACTTTTCTCCTCGAAGAATGGATGATTTTATATTAAAGACTTTACCTTTTCCCCATAAAAGCCGGAATGTATGATTTTTTATGAAGGCATTCTTAAAACACGATACTTTGCCTTAAAAACGTTACTTTATTGGTCTCTAACTTTTCTCCTCGAAGAATGGATGATTTATAGGTAAGCATTTTCAAAACACAGTACTTTGCCAATAAAACGTTACTTTTTCGGACTTTAACTTCTCCCCACAAAGAATGTATGATTTCTTATGTAGGCATTCTTAAAACACGTTACTTTGCCTTAAAAACGTTACTTTATTGGACTTTAACTTTTCTCCTCGAAGAATGGATGATTTTATATTAGGCATTTTCAAAACACGTTTCTTTGCCTTGAAAACGTTACTTTATTGGACTCTAACTTTTCTCCTCGAAGAATGGATGATTTTTAGGTAGGCATTTTCAAAACACAGTACTTTGCCGATAAAACGTTACTTTCGTGGACTCTAACTTTTCTCCTCGAAGAATGGATGATTTTTTAGGTAGGCATTTTCAAAACACAGTACTTTGCCGATAAAACGTTACTTTCGTGGACTCGCGTGGACTCTAACTGTTTCCATGCCAAGTTGTTAAAACACGTTACTTGGCCAGTTTATTCCTTCAAGTGTCGAACATTTTAGCCTGGCATTTTTAAAAAGCGTAACTTTGGCCGATTTCCGTAACTTTCTTGTACTCTTAAGTTTTCCTCCATCGAGAGTTGGTAAATTTTAGGTAGGCATTTTCAAAAAGCGTTACTTTGGCCCTTTTCCGTTACTTTCTTGGACTTAAACTTTTTTCGATGTGTAACTTGAAAATCTTGTCAGTGAGTGGTATTACTAATTATTGTAAAATATAAGATGGACCATAGTGTAAAGAGAGGCTAGTAGTGTTTTTCCTTCTATTAATTCACTTATTCCACCTTGAAAATCTTAAATTCTTGCAATTTTGCTCGATTAATAATTCCATTGAGTAGGTCTACTTCGAATCTAAAAAACAACGAATCAAATGACCATATTTAAACAGTTTATGGAAAAATAGAAACTTTTGTACAATGCCTAACTTTTGTTTTGGTTTGTTTCGTAGTTCGATGATCTTCCATGTTATTTCGAAATAATAACATGGATGAAACTCCCTAAATAGGTACAGCTTTACTGCACGTTATACCTAACTATCTGTAATATACATGTACAATAGTTACGTCTTGTACATATGTTTGCGTATATTTTTTTCATTTTCTGTTGCAATATGTTGGTTGCTTATTTAACGTTCAATGTACTCAATTAGGCGGTTAAAAGACCAAAGTGGATCCTTTTTCATGAATGTACGTTAATTTATAGATTAGTTTAGCCGATAACAGTGTTGAATTACTTCAGAGTTGCAATTTTAGCGATTCATACGATAAAAGATCGATTCATCCCAAACACCCACTTTACCGGAAGGCGCTCTCTGACGTCCGCGCCATTTAGGTCACTTATAACATGACATTATTTTTCGGTCCACTTCCCTTTATTAGTACGTTTGAATGCAACCATCTTAGACATTGATGCAACAATTTTGACCCTCTTTCCTAAACAAATATTCTTCTTTTCTTCATCCTAGGTCTGATGGTGTATCTTGTTTATTCGATCTAGTTGTTGACAGATTGATATGTGAAAATTTGGAAGGTGTATTTTCTGATACTGAGCGACATCTTTATAAAACACAGTTTTCAATCCGACTATAAGTATGAGTAATTCATAAAGATGTCGTTCGCTTCAACTACATCTCATAAATGTCGAACTAAATCACTAGTTTTCAAGAATTATATACACATTGTATTATTAAAAACACGAGCTAACAAACAATACAATCGTTTGCATCAGAATATCAATGTATTTTTCCATTTAATATTGCACTGTGGTCTTTTGACTGCTTTTTATCGACTGTCGGAGACAAAACTGAAGTTCGTCAAAATGCGATTCAAAATCATCTATTGAGTACTTTGAATTTAAAAAATAAGCAATCAAATGACCATATTGCAACAATATTTGGAGAAATAGAAACCTATGTACAAGGCCTAACTTTAGTATTTCAGATAGTTACAGCAAACGTGTGGCATTCAGTAATTTATTGAGTTTCATCCATGTTAATTTTTAGTGTCGAAAATGTCATGGCAGAGAAGCATCGAAATATAAGAGGCCACACATATGATAGCTAACTACAAAACAAACCAAAATATACAAAAGTTAGGCCTCGTACAATTGTTTCTACTTTTACAAAATACTGTTCAATATCGTCCTTTGATTCCTTATTTTTTACATTCAAAATACTCAATCGGGCAAAAAAGTTAAAGTCCAAGAAAGTAACGGAAAAGGGCCAAAGTAACGCTTTTTGAAATGCCTACCTAAATTTCACCAACGCTCGATGGAGGAAAACTAAGAGTACAAGAAAGTTACGGAAATCGGCCAAAGTAACGCTTTTTAAAAACACCAGGCTAAAATGTTCGACACTTGAAGGAATAAAGTTAAAAGTAACGTTTTACTGGCAAAGTACTGTGTTTTTAGAATGCCTACATAAAAAATCACCCATTATTCGAGGAGAAAAGTTAAAGTCCACGAAAGTAACGTTTTATCGGCAAAGTACTGTGTTTTGAAAATGCCTACCTAAAAATCATCCATTCTTCGAGGAGAAAAGTTAAAATCCAATAAAGTTACGTCTTTAAGGCAAAGTACTGTGTTTTGAAAGTGCGTGCATAAAAATCATCCATTCTTCGTGGAGATCAGTTAAAGTACAATAAAGTAACGTTTTAAGGCAAAGTAACGTGTTTTGAAAAGACCTGCATAAAAAATTATCCATTCTTCGTGGAGATCAGTTAAAGTCCAATAAAGTAACGTTTTTAAGGCAAAGTAACGTGTTTTAAGTAGGCCCTACATAAAAAACCATCCATTCTCCGTGGAGTATGGTTAAAGTCGAATAAAGTAACGTTTTACTGACAAAGTACTGTGTTTTGAAAATGCCTAATATAAAATCATCCATTCTTCGTGGAGATCAGTTAAAGTCCAATAAAGTAACGTTTTTAAGGCAAAGTAACGTGTTTTGAAAAGACTACACAAAAATTCATCCATTCTTCGTGGAGAAAAGTTAAAGTCCAATAAAGTAACGTTTTTAAGGCAAATTACTGTGTTTTGAAAATGCCTGCATAAAAAGCCATCCATTCTTCGTGGAGTATGGTTAAAGTTGAATAAAGTAACGTTTTACTGACAAAGTACTGTGTTTTTAAAATACCTAATATAAAAGCATCCATTCTTCTTGGAGATCAGTTAAAGTCCAATTAAGTAACGTTTTTAAGGCAAAGTAACGTGTTTGAAAATGCTTACATAAAATTCATCCATTCTTCGTGGAGTATTGTTAAAGTCGAATAAAGTAACGTTTTACTGACAAAGTACTTTGTTTTGAAAATGGCCTACATAAAAAAATCATCCATTCGTAGAGATCAGTTTAAGTCCAATAAAGTAACGTTTTTAAGGCAAAGTAACGTGTTTTAAGAATGCGTACAGAAAAAGCATCCAATCTTATAAGAGAAAACTTAAAGTTTATTAAGGTAACGTTCTAAAGGCAAAGTAACGTGTTTTAGAAATAGCTTCATAAAAAATCATCCATTGACAATGAACGAATGTTTTAAAGGCAAAGTAACGTGTTTTAAAATGCCTGCATAAAACATAATCTATTCTTTGTTAAGATAATGATTATATCACCAGGTTTCAACAGCCAAGGTAGCCAACGTTCCTTAATTACTTTTCATAATAACAAAACGAAATAAACAGTACTTTTAAAATGTCAATATTTTTTGTCCCTATATCGTGACATATATATTCTTTTGACAACCAAACATGTCATGATTAATCATAATATGTACATTGACAGATTCAACCAACACTTTCATAAAATCATTAAATTAAGTGACTTTTGCAAGTTTATAACATGAAAGGCTATGGTAGTCTGGCCCAAGCAAAACGAAGAATGACAAGGGTGGCATCTATTGTTTCAGCTTTATTCAGCTATTCAAAAACTATACAATTGAAATAAATGTT